TATTGCTTCTCATCATTAAATTCATGCACTAATGATTTTATGGAAAAAGTAACAAATTATTTAACGATCTCACTTTCTAATATCTGAATCATCTGCTATAAAATTGATTATAACTGCAAATATGAAACCATTTTACTTAAGGCCTTATGCGATCGTTGTAGTGCCTCTATAAAATAAAAACATTTGTTTCGATTTCAAAATAAATAATCGCGAAGCTATTTAATTATTAATAGCAAACCTATTAATAAACCAAGCTATTACCTTACGTAACGGTTTTGGAGCCTCATTAAGAAGGAAATGTAGCATTTTACATTAATTACTCACTTAGCATATCTAGTATTTACTTTACTTTGCTAAATTGATGATTTTAGTCTTTTAACTGTCGTAGTAAACAAACGTAAAATACGAAATTTTAGTATTGTAAAGCCGGACTTTCCATGAAATGTATACATTCCTCTAGGAACTTATAGAGGCCACAAATAGGACGTACTTTTTCAACAAAAGATGCTTTATCGGTTTAGTTTTTAGCTGCGTTCCAAAATAATTTTACAAATTAGCTCACGGAGTAATTTATGCTAGTAGAAAGCAATGATGCCATGGTAGAATAATATATTGGATCAAGTCCAATACTTTGTGAATCATTCCTGTATGACATTCATTACAGTAGATTTAATAATTCTTTTGACATACCTCACATTATAACCTCTAAATCAGCATCATCTCTGCGTGCCTTTCTTATCTGAGTAAACGACTTTAAGAAATGAAACCTTTTAAGCTAACTACGATAATTTTACTTTATCTCACTGTGATACCGAAAGTCCCTCTTTCACATGATTTCTTGTTTAGGATCACTGTACAATTAATTCCAAGTAAGTATTGAGTTGTATAAACAGAGTCTTTGTATCATCAAATAAAATTTGATACATTTATCATTTGGATCTTATTACGGCATGCATATTTTCTGCATAAATTAAGAAAATAATGACAGGCAAAAAATATGTCTATCATAAGTACGCGTACATTTATCGAAACATGTTATAGAATACGTCGCATAACATCCTATGATCCAATATCGTTCTAGCTATTACAGGAATCTGATCATAGATGCTGGGTGTTACACTTGATTCAATAGATTTACTATTCATATCAGAATAATCATGACTAATTACTGAATATCATTGCTCGATTTTAAACTTATTGAAACAGATCAGATTTCCACATATTTTGCGAAGGAGTCACTACTCATGAATTCGTCTATATTATGTGCTACTTTTGCAAAACGCTCACTCTTGACTACTAGCATCTAGTAAGTAAGCTTAGTTTCAAAAGTATGAGCACTGATTTCGCTAATATCAGGGACTACTTAAATAAAGAGAAACAGGACACGATTGTTAACTACATAAGCAAAGAGCAGGCCAACTATTTTGCTGGTCATTTTAACTGTACTGTACATTTGCAATCGTAAACTATTCTGTTCAGTGTCATACTCCAAAGCAGCTACCAGGTTGGTTTTGCCAGTATGGTATACAGTTATAGTGGTGGTGCACGGTAAAATGCCAACAAAATAATTAGCCTACTCATTTCTAGTAGTCAGCGGTGGTATTCCGTCCTCTCTTTTTTCGAGTAGTCCTTGTTGATGATGTACGTATAGCAGATAAGGCATGCATCTTAGACGATAAAATAAACAAGCTTGAAATACTATCGGTTTTTATTAAGATCTACTTAAATTTTTGGCAAAGGCTTTAAGTAAATAGATCAATATATACATTTTACACTCACTATCTATTTCATTATAATGAAATATAAAGTTTATAAACTGCGACTATATTTACCATTCAGAATAGATTAGTGGACTTAATCTATAACAAAATACTGAATACGAGTAATATGCAAAACATCGCCTTGCTAGCCTAAAAATAAAATCGCAGTATGATAGCTAAGTCTAATAGTGATAGTAAAAGATAGGAAAGAATTCATTTGTACGATACTAGTAATCTTTAATCTCTGTAATACTTATTATGCCCAGTAGCATAGATTAGTTCGATTATAAGTATACTATAGTGTTAACTATTATTGATGGAGGCGAAGACAAGATGATTGAGAGTAGATAGCCTTTTATTTTTAGATAGAGTTAGGAGACGAAATAGAGATTGGTTAGCCTCGTGACAGAGAGATTATAGACAAGAAGAAAGAGCAGTGCAATCTACGTATATTTATAAGTTATTCGGCCACAGTCTAGTCTTAGGAATGTGTCTAGTGCCAATAAGCATTATAGATCTATTATAATATTACTACTGCAGGTTCAACAGATCATTGCATAGTAAGTGATTAGTTCGATCGCGTAACATACATTTTTTGAGTATAGTAAAAATTAGAATGTTCAATATGGACTAGATGACTGTATTTGATGATTTAATTACGTACATACGCGTAGATATATTTACGTAATGCCGATTAAATTGAGTTGTAACGATTTAAAATAATAGGCAGATATCCAAGAAGTAATTTTAGCTTGATATTTTTGAACTTAAAGATCAAGCTATCGTAGCAGGGTATCCGATAGAACGAATATTCTTGGTCATATAAAATTGTTTAAGGTATAATCTATTGAATGACATCAGGTATTCATTCACATATAACAAACATATTTCTATGATTTCTGATATGTTATGATCTCTGGTCTTAAAAGTAAGTAAATATAAATTGCTCATCCATCAGTTCGGATTTTAACATTCAAGGATTATATCCAAAGATAAAACTAGCAATATAATGGTGTTGCAAGTTTTAGTATTAGCGGTAATCACAATCGCAATATACTATGAAGAGTCCTAAATATAATTTTACTAGTGTAGTTTATATCTCAGCACGCGCAATTCCGGCATAGGAATAGTAAAGTTAATATCCTTGTCACAACGTCGTTTGCAACAATCGGATTCCCGTTCCACACTTATCCTACTCTCCTCTGTCCTACCGTAAAACTGCCACCAGGCGTCACTACTCGCTCCACTTCAGCGAAGGACCTCAGTCAACAGTAAAGGCGGACTAGAAGCGTCTGGATAAATTTACTAAACTAACTTTATTAGGTCTCCGTATTTTCCTCCTGCCTAGCGAGGTAAATTACAACCTCTTATATACTTGTATCAAATCTACACCTTTTCCACCTGTTAATTATTCTTATGCATAACTTAGTCTTTTCTATAACTTTGTAATCCTGTTAATTACTATCGAACAAATATGTGATAATTGATATTATTATGCGCTAATAATATTATAGCATCAATTAACAATTTAAGATCTAGCAGATTCCCTACAAGTGTGACAACCGCCATTTTGGTTATTACACGTCATTGGCATATTAAGTACCTTACTTCTACACACTCGTTAATGGAAGTCCATTAACGATTGAATCTCACAATATTAACAGATCATAATATTTATGATTATCTAATCGTAACCGTCTATTTCTTCTTCAATAACATTATCACATAATATCTTAAACCGTAACAATCCTTGAAAGACATACGTTTATCAGCAATTAAAAAATCTAATGGAGTAAACGATTGAAGTTTGAAAGGGAAACGATAACATATAGTTATTATGTAATCGAACATGGAGCTAGGAGCCTCTGTTCGATGTTAGTTTCTCACCATGGGGATTGGGTGCCCGTGTTATCATTTGGTTGATTACACATGGGGTTAGTTAACCTTATCCACAACTGAATGCGTCATGAATCCGAATGATTCGATATCTATTTACGTCTTTATTAATTCGTAGTAGAATTCCTTTGCAACTGTATATATTTTTGCGTGTAGCCAGAATGCAGTTATTATTATTATTATTATTATAGAACTAGCGTAGATGTGATGATGGTGATACCCCTAGTAGAATAGAGTACAGTGCTGTGGCATCGGAAATATTCTAGCAGTCACTGTGAAACTGCTTCATACAAAATAACTTGAATGCCATTTTTCATTAGTCATTTTAAACAATTTCAACTACTTTTGTATGCAGCAGTTTTACAATACCGGAATATTTTCAGCACCACTATATTTAATTTCCTGTTAACACAAATATTAAACCGCTATTAAGGCTGACTTGTATACTGGTTGAGCTGACCGTACGTGTTCCAGTGATTATTGGTTTGTATTCGAAATTTTAAGGAAATAAAATAAGTCAATACTGCAGTATAAAATAATAAAAACATCCAAAATCAATTACTTAAGGTTTTGATGATCTATTTATGTGAAATTTGAGCCAACTTCAATGTAAATCCCTTGAAAATTTAAAAGATCTAATTAAAGGCTGCACCATAGCGGAATTGCCCTCTATCAGCATTGAATTAAAATTGTTACTGTACCTGTACATATGTATATTAAAGACTCTACTTTTATAGAGGGTCCGTAGTTTACTGTATAGTATTTGGTAACTGCAGACTAGCAATATCATGCAGTATCTTTAGTTCTACAGTATGATGTACGACAGAGACCTGCATTTGTTGAAGTCGATTTGCATAGTTGTACAATTCACACTTATACACTAATACACGTACAGTATAGACGATTTGTGATGTGTTCTACACCGTGGACTACTAAAATTTACATTTTATTTTTCGCGTTTTTCTACTAAAACATGTGTACGCGTATGTTCTACTCTGTTAACATTTGTTACAGTCACTTTTATGACATGAGAATAAAGTACTACCAGGGTAGCGATATAGCATTAAAGTCTTAATTCAAATATATAGTATTATGGAAGCTACAAAAATATTGTAACGTACAGTACTATCATCAAGTGATAAATAAATTTAACAAAAACTCGTGTATCGATTTTCGAGGCATTGTAACATACATGAGTAACATGGCTAATCTTGGACAAATTGAATAAAATATTGCCATTTTAAGTTAGTATAATTTTATTAGATGTTTGTCATTAATAAGGTAAGGAAGGAATAATTTGCGGTATAGCGTAACAAATCATCACATCTAGATACCATTTTACGAAGTGTTGCACCATGATAAAATACACAATTTTTGATTGATCATACAAGACGTGTAATCTATAATAGCTCAATTACATTGTTATTGATACCCTTCACGACATAGAATAGTGTTACAATAATACTAGAATATTATTGTTAGTAATGTTGTGTGCTAGTGCAACTTTATCATTATATCCACGCACAAACTATCATATCATTTAATTAATTAGTTGACTAAATATCATTTTCTTTTATGAGCCTACTTAATGCTAATAAAGTCTAAGCTTAGACCAGAATTATTGAATTTAAACTAGTATGTTGTTCATTGTTGTCTACCTCAGCGATCAAGGATAGAGATTCGAGATAGGATTATGAAGGAAATCGGGCTACCATCAGATTAGATAACGTGTTATCAACGTTAAGACAATCCTGCAATTTGAAATACAACAGAATATTCACTTAGAACCAAAGCTATTTAATATATGCCATAATTGGCGACTTAACACTGTAAAAAGACTATTCGTAATAAGGAATGTCTACAGTTAATCCATAATAGGCTAGATGAAGTGTCCTGTACTGTAGCTTTCTTAATGTACTAATAATGTACCGTGTACAAACGAAAATGTGAGTCAACTAAAATAGAGATTATGGCAGTATGTTATTATCACTACTGACAAAAAACTAAATGTATATTAATTGTAAACTTGATATATAATTTATACCTATACATAGCAAAAATTTTACCTTTGTTGGAACTAAAGATGGGAAATTTTTCCAAAGATGGCGACGGAACTTCTGTACTCAGGATGATTATAATTTTTATCAGTAAGCATTAGAAGGCATGAATCAAAATAAGTAACTTAATAATTTTGTTGACCTGTAAGCTTAATTTTCTAGCTATTAAATTGCGTTTTAAATAGACTTCGAACTAATCTACAATTATATATCTGCTACATTGAATCAGACCGTACAAGTAATCTTTCTCATTTAATTTTAGCTATTTATTAATCCTAGCTACTTAACCTCGATTTCAGCTGCCTTAATTAATCTCGCCTTTCATTTCTCTTCGCTAATTTTATTATTATGTTAATAAAATTGGACAAATTAGAATTATTATTTAAAAGCTGTAGTTAGAAATATGTAAGTGATTAGTAATTTTCTAAGCTAAATGCTTTCTCGTTGCTAATAATGAAATGCTTTAAACGAGTTACATATGTATTAATTTCAATTTATCATGTGATTTAGTGTAATTGCTTAAAAAAGTAAGGAATAATATATGGCTGGAGTGTTTAACTATTTACATTTAATTTTAACCCAGTCAATTTTATAATTTTAAATATCTCACGTTCTATCTAATTAATCTTATTTTTCTAATTAATTTATATCTAAGTGGATATGCATTAGTCGTTCATAGCTTAAAATTCACTACTAATAATGAGACTAGCAAAATTTATTATAATTTTATACTGCAAAGAGAAATCAAAAATTAAAGAAAACCTATAGCTCAGAAAATATGAGAACTGTTGGCAGGAACTGACTTTTAGGTTACGATTTTTTCTAGCTAAATTATGAATTTTATTGGACCAATATTTTTATTGCTAAATACGTGTTTGCTCGCAAGCATTTGAAATCCGTGATAATGAATTAATATTTCGAATTAATAACAGTAACGAAAGGTACAAATATAGAATAAGGCCAATTGGACATTGGCTATCATATGCTCTTATACACTTAATATGAAATGGCCTTAAACAGTGTATCATGTTCTAGTGAATATAATACCTCATATGTAATCAGAGCATTTAATGTACATTTACAATTTATAAGCACATATTAAAATTATATACTACAGTGGCATTAACGCGAATGCACACGTACATAAATACTAATACTATTAACTCATCCATGTAATTATTAGAAGTATGGTAGGCCCAATGCAAAAACACAGTTGTATTATGATAGACGGAGTTTTTAACTATTATAAAATATATAAGAATTTCTATAAAATGATTTCAACATAGTTTTCATGGGGATAATTTTTATACCTAATGATTCAATCGATATGCAAATAATCTACCTTACTATTTTATTGCTTTATGAATTGATGTCAAATGATTAATTATATAAGATTAACGTTATTTTACAACATATATTTACATCGTAGCATACGCATACCTTGTCTTCTTGTTTTTAGTAAAGCATCTAGTTCTAAAATAAGAGAGTAAATTTTCACAAGTGAGATTATATAAAGCGATTAGTTTTTTAAATATGCTAGCATATATCCAGTAAGACTTTGCAATTTTATCTATCTTTAGAAGTCGAAGATATCAACCGCTAAAGGCTAACTGCTGTACTAATGAAATGTTGTTAAGCAATGAAGGTAATATTATCTCAACGTATTTACTTGAAATCGGCATTTAATATTGCTGAAGAATGTACCTGGTAGACTATGCTGGTACTGACTATTTTTAAGTTGATTAAAGTACGGCGTTAATGTCTTCATAACTTTAATAATACGTATTCTGGATTAATTAATATTAATTGTCACTGTAAATAATGCATTCACGAATATCAGAATTTTTATCATAAAATATTCAGTAAAATCAACAAGCAATCATAATGTTACAAATAATCAAAACTTGAATTCTTGTAGTAAAGTTCAGCTTGTGCTATCATATATATCACCGATGTCTATATATCATACAGTAGAAAAACTAATGTTAAAGCGATTTATTCTCAATAGATCCAATATCAGCAAGTCACAAATTAAATTATTAAATATCTATATTAATTTACGGTATGGCAAAAGTAAACTGGATTACTTGTTTGTTATTGAAGGAGCTGCGTTTAATGTGTAAGAGTGACAATGCAATACGTGTATTCGTAAAATCTAGTTATAATCAGCTAAATAAGTAATTAACTAGTTAGTAACATTTTAAGTATATCCAAAGCTTGATAATGTTTCTGATCAACGTAACTATACGTTTGTGACACGGTATTACATTAGAATCTCTATAGATTACTGTGATTTTGTTGCAAATGCCTATATTTGTCATAGCATAGCTAAACTATTTCAACGTATACCTACTGTTAAGACATAGAATTATCGATTTATTAACTGTGTAATGAGGAAATAAGTGTATAATTATGAAATTTGAACGGACCTTCATCATGTTTCTTATTCCAAATGTAAGGATGGCTATCTGCTTAAATGGAATGTTTACTAGTTATTCAATCTAGTTAATAATATACTATACTCATATCGCGATAGGTATACCACAATTATAAATGATTTTTTGATTAATTCTGTCTGTATTTGCTACAAATAGAAATGAAAGATTCTCTACTTCGATAAAGTACTGTATGTATCATTTATTCTATCTACTTGAAGCATTATGTTGAAATTAGTATATAATCACAAATTCCAACAGACTTTGTCTACGCTTATTCCAGAGTAAAAATTTAAGAGGGAGTGATGCAGCTATTTCGACGAAATATACACTAATTATTTAATCTAACCATAATATAATCTTTAAACAAATATATTGTAAGGGAATCTTAACGGACCTTCTTGACGCTTATTCCAAGGTACATCGACCAAAACACCTATTTTGATTGAATATACGATAATTTTTCGATCTAATTAAATTACTATACGTTTTATGCTTATATATATAGAGATATATATAATTAGAAATCCTAACGGACCTTGTCGACGTTTATTCCAAGGTATATCGAGCAAAGCACCTGTTTTGATTAAATATTCGACAGTATTTCGATCTAATTACATTACTGTGTTATTTTTATATATACGTATGCATAATAAGAAATCCTAACGGACCTTGTTGACGTTTATTCCAAGGTATATCGAGCAAAGCACCTGTTTTGATTGAATATTCGACAGTATTTCGATCTAATTACATTACCGTGTTATTTTTATATATACATATGCATAATAAGAAATCCTAACGGACCTTGCTCACGTTTATTCCAAGGTATATCGATCAAAGCACCTAGTTTAATTGAATTTACGATAGTATTTCGATCTAATTACATTACTATACAGTATTATGTTTATATATATGCATAATAAGAAATCCTAACGGACCTTGCTCACGCTTATTCCAAGGTATATCGACCAAACCACCTATTTTGATTGAATACACGATAGTATTTCGATCTAATTACATTACTATACAGTATTATGTTTATATATATGCATAATAAGAAATTCTAACGGACCTTGTTTACGCTTATTCCAAGGTACATCGACCAAAACACCTATTTTGATTGAATATACGATAGTATTTTGAACTAATTACATTGCTATCTTATATCGTCATATTTATATAAAGTAAGTACTAACGGACCTTGTTTACGTTTATTCCAAGGTACATCGACTAAAACACCTATTTTGATTGAATATACGATAGTGTTTCGATCTAATTACATTACTATGTTATGTTTATATAATTCGACGAAGGATACGCTAGTTATTTAATCTATGTATCACATAATGTTTATAATGAACATTTAATAAGGGAATTCTAAATGGACCTTGATTGCGCTTATTCCAAGGTAAATCGATAGGACTGGTACTCTCTGCTTCGATGAAATAACAATAGTTTTCGACGTAATTAATAACTATATTATGCTAAAATAGGTATAGCGATGAGATTCTAACGGACCTTCTAAACGCTTCTTATTTTCAACGAAATGGAAAGATTTCTTAGCTATATTGACGAATACGTTTTACGTACAATTAAACACTTCGTCATGAATTACATTACTATGTTATGTTTATATAATTCGATGAAGGACACGCTAGTTATTTAATCTATGTATCACATAATGTTTATAATGAACATTTAATAAGGGAATTCTAAATGGACCTTGATTGCGCTTATTCCAAGGTAAATCGATAGGACTGGTACTCTCTGCTTCGATGAAATAACAATAGTTTTCGACGTAATTAATAACTATATTATGCTAAAATAGGTATAGCGATGAGATTCTAACGGACCTTCTAAACGCTTCTTGTTTTCAACGAAATGGAAAGATTTCTTAGCTATATTGACGAATACGTTTTATGTACAATTAAATACCTCGTCATTAATAAGGATCGCTACCATTAACTCAGGTATTATTTTAATTATATGAGAATTGGTTGAGATTAGATCCTGAATATAGAATAAATTTGCATCGTGATTACATATCGTGTAGTCAGCTTACGGACACAGAACTATGTTATTGTCGTTTTTGTAATCTGACTCTTATATCTTTTATTATAGGTATACGTTGTGAGGGAATTTATCTAATTAGTGACAATCATCATTCATACTAATAACTCTTCCTCCAATCTTTTACTGAAATCTTAACAAACGATTTCTGTAATCTAATAACATTTTCATAAATATTTCCTCGTGTCAAAGATAAAGTTATCGCGAACTAGCAAACTGCATATTTGAATGTTACTTGAAAGATAGATTAACTTTTAGATAGTAAGGAGATTTATTCTTCAATGCGATTTAGCCATTGATAGTAACATAAAATGATACGCAGGTCTAGAAACAATAAATTTGTTAAAGAGGTTTATCATTTTCCTTTAACAGACAGTCTAATCAACGATTGGTAATTGATTTTGAGTAGAGCATGTTAAATGAATAAAATAAAAACGAAATAGGAAACTGTAAAATAAAAACCTACAGCAATAGTTTCTTGGTGTATTGCTACTTATGTTTATCCGTATATTTATTCTTAAATAGTCATTGATTAGTTATTTATTAATTGTAATATGAGATATTTCAAAAGGTTTATTTGACTATATTTATATCATTTTCTGTTTAATCGTAATAGTCATTCGTATATACTTTTATAATGTACTTACCGCGTGCTACGTTGTCGCTCAAATCACGAAGGAATCCTGTTATTTAATAAAAAATTAGATTATCGAATGCATTGCACTTGAAAAGATTCAAGTACATTAATACGTTGTAAGATAAGAATGGCGCTGAATTAGTGTACAGATTTTTAGATGTTACTCACCGACTTTGGCTTTGAGACTTTCTACGACGTCTCGTTGCTCTGTTACCATAACAAGAAAGAACCAATAGAGAAGTTAATATTGTTGTTAAGTAATTTTATACTATTGTTGGTAGCTGACTATCGCAGTTACAGGTTATTCTTTGAACTCATAAAAAGTGCAGAAGGAAAATTGAAGCTACTTGTTCACTTTAATTACCTTCGATATGTCTGCAATCAACAAGGACACAGATCAAAGAGATAGCAATTAGAATGTTCAAGAATTTTGCCATTTTCGTTTTATAGCTATGTAGATTGAAAGAGAAATATTTATCAATTAATTCTTTGGCTAATTAATATCTCAAAATAATTCTGAAATATAAGTTAGAAGGACACAATTACTTATAACGCACATATATATATATATATATATATGATTGACCATATTATATGGTGTGTATTCAAATCGAAGCAGTAATTGTTGGTCTGATAAAAATAACGACATATCCTGGGCGTAAAAGGATTTTAATTAATATAAAGTATGTGAAAAACTATACTGGGTTATACTAAGATGCTGCAGATACCGGAATAAGAAAATTAGGGTATAAATAGAGACAAAAAATTAACAATTAGATGAATTATTGAATACAATTTAATAGACTGCTTCATTCTAATGTCATACTATGGATAAATGGGTGTATAACTAATACATAAAGTTTTTGATCTATTCTGGATTCAGCATGATTTATTTGGATGGTCTCGCTTTCATTCAAATGATAAGGTCTTATATATATAACATATACAAGATTTAACTTATAAAATGACTACTTAGGGCATATTGTAATTAGTAAGGAACTGAACCAATTATTAGACGATAATTTTTTAGAAGAATTTTATAACATCTATTGTGAAGAGTGTATTCCCTTTGATTTCAAGCCAAAGATTTTCAACATTAAAAATTGATGCGAAGATAATTATAATAAGCATAGTCAATTTCACAAAATATAAACACATGAATTTAGATTGTTAATATGATTATTTGAATTCTATTGTAAGGCTTACATGAAAATAAATAGTGAATTGAGGTACGGTAAAAATTTAATTTAATATCCATAGTATTGTTCTACTTATCCTTTTTTTATATTAAACTTAACGACTAATTATAATTATCAAGCAATAGCGGTATCAGTACGTTTCAAAATAAGAATTATCAAAATGAGAACTATCATCTGTTTGCCTTTGACCTTTAAGGTCGTCACAACAGCTATATCAGCTATGCATCATATACGTTAGGTATACTTACATAAGATATAGAGTAAAATCAATTCAACACGTATGTATGGTCTGTTTTGTTTGCAATGATCGTGTTACAGTTCGTAATATAAATTTTGAGTTAAATTAAATACTGTTCTATACTGCAGTAAAATTAAGTTAATTATTACTGAATTAACCTTAAATATGCGATTTGATCATATTGATACGTCGCATCGATACTTAAGAACTATATTGATTTCTGGCTTTTGGAAGTTCATAGTGTTTTCTTAAATAGATATATGCAATCATCGTATGCGTATTTCAAATTAATTGTAGTTACCGTGTGTTCTTGTGAAGAAATTCTCGTTACGTATTAAACTTCCTACAGATTCTATTCCGAAGCCTAGCAAGTATGATGCACTTGACCTTTATCCTTCAATACTCTGTACTTAATTATATCTCTAGTACTTTCCTAACTATCTGCTAATAAAAAGCATTCAATGGCTCAATAGGACTAATGAACCTTCATTTTATTGTATGACAATTAAATCCTTGTACATAGTGTATTTTTTAAATATTTCAATAGTAAAGTAGCATTTTAAGGAAAAGATAAAACAATTAAGCTATAATTTTTAGCCAAGCTAAAGTCGAATGTTTCATTGTTTCGTTTCTTAGAACTATCTAAGAACATTTCATACTACTTCGCTGATGTCACTAGTTATGAAAGCACTATCATGATTATAGCGTTGTTGTTAGCATCTGTTAGCCTATCGTTTGCCGAAGTTATGCAGTTCTGTAAGATTTAAGAATAGCAGTTTAAAGATTATTTTTTAAGGTGCAAGTACCCTAACAAGATGTTGAAATGAATCAAACTTATGGATACTTCGCTACACAAAATGCTTCGTTTCTTATTGCATGCTATTCTCTTCCATACTATAGGTATACGAGTGCATGACTGCAAGTACCGTAATTGCGTCTTTACCAACGTTATTTTAAAAATTGTAACCAACTGATTAAATTCATATGTACTGATTCATGAAATAATTATAATATATCGCTATCGAATTAGGCACAAGAATCAAATAAAATTTTAAATATACACGTTATGATTTGACTCATAAATAATTGCATGTAGCAGTCAATTTGTTAGGATCTGTCAAAAAAATGACACATATTGAAATATTTGCTTCAATTCGCTTTCAGGATGAAAGGATTCACACTTGCATCAAGCTAAATCATTATATACGAATGATTAAAAATATCTATCGGGCTTTTATTTAATCAAAACCATTCTAGCAACCATTTAACATAGTTAAATAATAAATTAATTTCTTAAGCAGCTATCGATTGTACTTTATAGTTGAAGCTTAACGACTAGATATTTTATTTCATTTATGATCAAAATGAGATGATCGAAATAGAAAATATTGATGTGATGATAAGAAATAGAAAAGAAAGATAGTGCGCGTAGTACGGGTTTATTTCGGTGTTAAAAAACATGATTTAAGAGAAAGGCTTAATAAATAGAATTCTTACTTACAGTGATGTGATTTTCTATTAAAATTATTCCAGATGTGATAGTGGGAAAGTCGAGTCCAGAATTGAATAAACTTGCTGGAGAATCTACTTATATAGATAAATAAGATTAAGTTAATTAACATATTATGAAACCATAATGTCAACGCGTCATTAATCGGCCAACTGAATAGATACTGATGTTGCTTATGCTTGATAATCAGATCTTTTAATGAGACCTTATGGTAAAATATTAATTGGATCTGAAAGGTAATGATGACAGACAGTTTTTATTTCCGTTTCATTGATATCTATTGAGACAATAACTGCTTGGACTACATCTACATTGGTAATCAATTGAATTCAATGCTTTAGTCAATTAGTTTTACTAATTATATTTTTCTTTACTATTTTTATATTTGAGTGACGTTCAAAATTTGAGAAAGAATAGTCTGAGTTACCTATATTTTTGGTTCTGTGGCAATAAACGATCAAGACGAAATATCAATAAGTTATAATAATCATAAAGAATAGAAAAGGCTTCTAAATAATTGTTGGTATTGATAACAAGGATGTTCTTTGCTATCATAATGATGAACAAGGTCATATTTAAGTGCCGTTAATGCTATTATTGCTAATTTTAACCACCTCACTATCGTTATAGGATCAAAGATTAGAATGAATATGAGTAGAAAACTATTAATAATACGAATAAACGACATCAAAGTGCAATTGATGAATAGCTAGAAATTAATATCAATATTGAACCTGTTTTGATCATCTCAACATCCTGTTTTCCGCTCTCAACTATCACCATTCACAACTTATAACTATTATGATAAAATATTTACTTGTAGAATTGTAAACTTGGCTTACAGTTTTTCCTACACAATTTCATTTTAATGCAGTTACCGTACCGTGTATTTAATTGCCTTCAGATCTTGTATCCTTTTTATTATTTGATTGTTTATATGTTTATTTTGACAGTGCAGCCAGATATAGCCTATGAAAAACGATGTTCAATCTTATTATCTTACAAAATTGTAAAAGCTATCCACCAAATTAATCATTAATATCAACTATACCCGTTCTTTCTGGGAAAGATTATTCATTGCTATGTAAAAAGTGAAATTAAAAGATGACTTGAATGATTCATACTAAAATTATAATTAATATTTAAACTTAATGAATAATCTGATGTGCAAAAGAACGTAAATTAAGTTTCTCTATTCATTCCTTTATCATTTTTGCCTTATCAATCGATTATAATTAATGGGTTCCTTATATAAGGGATATGCCCTAATTTCAGCAGCATATGAAAGCAGCTGTATTTTTTATAATTTCTTAACATATAATTAACATAGTGTTCCGTAATCTCATTGACTTGATTCACAGTAGAAGAATATATCTTAATCGAAAGCTGATACTGATTTCATTTCAAAACTTCGGATTCATTAAATTTAAGCGCAACGTTTTCTTCAAATTTGAGTTAGATCATGAGTATGTATATAAGCAAATTAATACTTATTCTCTTATCTTGGCTAAGAAAGTTTCTTTCTTTCCTGTCTAGATATTCTAGCAACTAAATGAATATAACGCTTTCAGTTGTATTTAGCATTTTAATTTCCCTAATCAGATGAGTATGTGCTCAACGTCATATTTGGGTAATTAATTTTAAGTGCTACCAGATGAGTAATGACCAGGTAAAATTTTACATAATGTGTATGTGTTACTTAAAATGGGAATTTCTAGAACAAAATTTGGCTTGTTACATTTTTGTTGGAGATCCAACATGTTCTGTATCCTATATTTCTATTGAATAAAATGAAATTTAGTGCGTAAATAATAGGCTAGACGATGCAAATGAAATGAATATTATAATAAATCTCCTAAAATAAATCAAATAACTTCCCTATTTATTTTTTTGTTTAGTAGTGAATTTCAGCTGTCTATCGGCGATCAGAGTAGGCTTGCTCCGTCTATATTCTAAAAAATAAGATATATTTATTGCTTAGGTGTTGAACTAATGAGAAGAAGTCCACTATAATATAATCACAATGAACCTGTCAAAAACAATCTATTTAATTGAAAATCTTTTATCAATTGCTCATTTTCATTACTATAATTCTAACAGTAATATTTAATGATCCACGGTTATATTTCGTTAATTTGGACTATATGTAGTCATGCTTTATAATTTACTATTAAATTATTCCTCAGTAAACGTCTATAAGCTTTACTTTTCATATGAAAAATCTGAAACAATAGATTAAACATAGATATTATTATTTATGCAATCTGTCTAGTAATTAATGGTGATGGAATTTGAAAGATTTGATTTCGTTCGTTATTTACTTACTTCCAAGATTATATTTAGATAGGGATAGCGAGAAGAGAAAGAAGCAGGAGTGGAATGAACACAATAAGTAAATACCAGAAAGAGACTTTTGATTGCGGGCCAGTCTAGTTTTTCTAATTTTTTCTACACTTCAGTCAAGCTCCTATCCTACCGATATAAATCAAC